AATAACATTGTCATAAAGCTTGACGAGTGAAAATTAAACAACCGGATGGGTAACTAGTGGAAAGTTCAATTAAGGACATAAATAGAGTAATTGACATAAATTAACACCTTGAATACTTGATTATCCAGCTAAGGTAAACAAATTGTTGAAACGTACCCCATTCGACCGGCACAATTTACCATTGCCTTCTCCACTGCCTCCTTGCAAACGAATTTTGGATGCAGAGGCTTGACAGGGAGTAGAACCAACCAAAGGAGAAAGCTCATGAACATCAAGACCCCGGCTTGGTGAGGCTTCGACCGATGAGGCTAACTGACGCATCAAATTGAGTCGGGGACTTCGGACAGTCGTACAAGAGCGCCCGCCTCGTCCTGAAGAGGGGCTGGTTCCAGATTCGAAGCGACGTCGTTGAGAAGAAGATCTTATAAAAATTAAGAACATATGTATTATATATAACAATAAAAACTTAAATTACTAAATACAAAGAATCATACTGCATTAATAATTATGTATTGTGTGAAAATTTATTAGATATCTACTATATAGGTAAATTGATAAGTGGGGTGGAGGTAAAGTTCCAAATGAGTTTTAAAATATAAAAAATGCTTTTCAAACGATAAACTCAATGTTGTACTTTAAGTTCAAACTAAATAAGTCCAAAATGATACAAGCTCGATGAAGAATGTTCCGAACAAGCTGGATCCATAAGGAATAAGGATAATATCTCTTAAGCAAGTTAAATCGATATAATAGGAATAATGCTGGAATACCTTCGAATTTTATTTTAAAGGATGGGTGGAAGGGATTTGTAAATCGAGCTTATCGGACATGGAATAAAGACTGTCTTAAGCTCATGACTGCTGGATTGCGCGAAGAATACCTCGGCTTACCGCCCCGTAACCCCCATAAGCCTGCGCTGAGTTACCGTTTTTTGCTATGACAGACATCGAGGGCAAAAAATCATCATAAAAAAATCCACCAAAACACTAAAAGTGACTGGCTAAAGCCCCACTTACTTTTTATACTCAATTTTGCGGGCTTAGTGAAGCATCCCATGACTTATTTTGCTGTTTAGAACCCTACCACACAGGCTTGCAGTTGAATGAATTTGATGAAAAAAAGAGTGAATGTGGTCACAGCTGTTTACTTACGTTAGTAAACTAGTGCATTATCCTGTAGTGTTGGTGCTTGTTCTGAATTTTTTGAGGCGTGTGCGCTATGTGTGTGCAACACTCGTGAGTCATTTTACATGTTTGGGCCCAAGCCAGAGTTTGGGTTAGTCAGTAACAAGTCCAAGGTAATACTCTTTGTATGTCTGATAAGACCAAGCTATGAATCTCCTTCCCCAGCCTGTTTAAAATAAAGAATAAGCAGGCTAGTAGCAAGCTAGTAAGGGATGCCTTGAAACCTAGATCCGCTTTATGTATAGCAGGAAAAGATTAACAAAAACTACTTAATCGCGAACCTGATATTTAAATAGGCGAAGTCAACCAACATTTCAGACCTACCAGGTACTACCCAAGGACTTACATTGAACTTTAAAGGAAGAACCATAAAGTGATATTAGCAAATATCAATAAGCACCAGAGCACATATATTTTCTTTACCTAAGATGAGTTTTTCAGGTTACTATTTTTATTCAATTACAAATAATTCGAAGCAAACTTAGCGCAAGCCTGTAAAGCAAATTAGCACAGGTCGACATAAAATGATTAATGCAGAAGATCCTAAAGACTAAAATTTTTGCTGTCTGATTGGAGAATCATTATAAAGCATCTTTCACAAAATTAGCTAACCTTCCGCCACTTGGATGCCTTTTTCTTGGATCGGTACACTTTTTTGGTGTCTTCATTTTACGTCTTGACCTTGTAACCTGTGATCTACTTATAAGAACCAGTTGAGGTGCAGTAAGCTGGAGATTTGTTTGAATTGTCCGCCTGGAAGATGAGTCATGGACGTCTTTATGGCCAAATGAGGTCGCTGGAGTAGATTTGATCAAAGAGGCCTTTGCAATTGGTATAACAACAGGATCTGTAAATAATGCCCGTGGCAGAGATTGGCGCGCAGCCGCCCTTTTGGTCCTTGGGGAAAGCATTGAGTCCACACCTAATTCTCTATAAGGGGATGTTTATTCTTTTCGAGTAATCTTACACATGGCTTGCGCCGGTTTGACGACCTGAAGTCTGAGGAGATTGGAGTTGAGGAAGTGAAGGCCCTAAGCATGGGGAGAGTGAGTGCCCGGTAGTGTCTGCATCCATTTCATTGTCAGCAAGACCATCAGGAGGCTCCAACCCGAGATTCCAAAACAGATGAACCAAGGTACGCCCAAATATAGAAGCATATCTATAAGTATGATAGCAAATTAAAAAATACCTCTCAACAAGTTGTTTATTCATAAAATCTTTCCAGTCAGCGCGAGAAGGTGAGCAAATGCCCAGACGCTCCATTAGCTCAGTGAGCTAAATAATATGGTAAGAAATAAAATTACCCATTCACAAAGTTCGTGGTCAGCATCCGATTCTGGCTGATCTAAAGCTGCAAGCTTGTGAAGCTCAAGAGCTGAAAGGGCTCTTGCCTGAATTCTTAAAGAACCATTAAGAAAAATAACCAACTCTCTAGACAGCCTGTCATTATTAGTATCCTCTTCATATAACTTAATCATTTCGGAAACTGGCCTTTGAAAGGACTGGCACAAATGCAATATGTCATTCTAGCTCAATTATGTGTAAAAATAATTACCTCCGTTTGGTCAGAACAAGTATCATGAATCGTTTGAATTAACGGATCAATACAGTTATATAGTGGATACTCGATCCTCGAAGCTATAGAGGCAATTTCCTGTTCCAGGTCCCCCAAAGCCATAGTACAAACTAGAGCATAACAGAATACAATAGAGTAGCCGGGAGAGGGAAGATTGCATTTGTAAACGCCGCTAAAATATAACCTAAAAAAGCTGCTAAATTTTTAGAATTTTAACACGCT